GATGAGTAAGTTAAGAAAAAGGGCCAGTAAATTAGCATACCCCCTGTCAGTTACTTTTATTCTTAAAAGTCTGCTCAAAGTTAGAGACGTTCCACGTTAGCGTCTAGAAAAACTGCGTTAAACTTGAGGTCTGGGATAAACTCTGATAAACTGCATTGAAAGTGGAACGATGAAGAAGAAGTGAGCGTTTGACGGTGCAGTTTAAAAGTGAAGAAAGTTATTGATGGCTCAATGATGTCGATAAAACCTCGCCAGAAGCTGCTCTGGTGTGTCTGCTTTCTCACATAAATATTCATCACTTTTCCCATCAAGAGACAAGGACCTAAAATGAAATGTTGTGTTTCCTCTCGAGGTGGAAGGGATGCATGGTAGGCATGGGTTTGTGTATTTGTATAATGCATTTATATACTTTTTTTTCCCACATTCACTCTCACACCTCATAAGCCAGACTCGGGCTGTTCCATATGGATGATGCTCATAGATGACAGTTCACCCAGCATCAGAATTCAAATGTAAGCAGTTGTTTGTGTGCATCAGCAACTCTTCAGAGGCGTGGCAAAATGCCTTCAGACTTTTTAACTTAGAAGGTAGAATGGTTTGTGATTTTTGCAATTATTGATCTTGTTTTAAAGATATGTCCCTCCAGTTTTCAGTGTAAATCAGCTTTACCACGTTAGTAAAATTAGCTCATACAAAACAGGTCAGCCTATGGTTGGATCGTAAAAAAGGACTTTGTTCGTATGTTTAATATTAGAGTAATATGTGATCCATCACATGGAACTGAACATGCTATAGTGAGTTGGTTAAAACGTTTGCGACAATTGTTTTTTGTCAAAATACCATAAATAAATAGCTTATCTATGGGTTGGTTGAATGAAATATAGTCTTTAAAAGATTTTTAAGCTAATGTTTAAGGTTTCCACATTAAAATGGCATCAAACATTTCTCAGAATAACCTAAAAACAGGATTAWGACTAAATATTGATGGGYTAATTGTTCAGGAAGACAAACCAAGGCATATCTCTGAAACGGCTCATATTATCAGGATGATTCAGGTATCAAATTTTAGCTTAAAAAGCCAGAAACTGAAAATGTTCTTAAGTCATTTTGACCAAATGACTTAACCCCCAGTTTGATGTAATCAACAGATCCAAGCAGGTGGCATGATGTGAAAAAAGGGGGAAAAGTAGTCCTGCACCTTAGTAAAGACAACAAACTAATGACATTAGCGTGTGACCGAGCCACTCCTCAAACAACAACAAACACGTTCGTCTGTAATGGCTGCCGTCTACCGGTGTTCTGAAGAAGTTTGTATCCCTGAAAAAAGTTTCCCCAACAGAGTGGAAACTACCAGCTCGTGAGTAGGAAGTAAGCTGCTTTTCCCCCACAAGATGGCCCAAATCTCATGTGAGGTCTCTGACTTTTGTGTTGGCGCATCCTGGTGGACTATGTGTAAAATACCAGAATTCATATGATGCTGCTACAGCTGATATATATTTGTTGTCAAAATACCTTTTAGTACATCTGTTGTTAAAATAAAATGAACAGTCCAATGATCATTTTACTGATATGTATAAAGACTGCAAAGGCTGAAAAATCTTGAAGTCTGTATGAAATTGGAGGTAATTTGAGGATTAAATTTTTTATACTTTTTAAGCTAAAGTGGTGGGGGTCGTATTATACATGATATCGTATTATACACAAATAAACACTGTAATCTTAGATCTTTAATTTTATTGCAGTATTCAAAACCCCAACATTGTTTGATTTCTATGCCATTGTCTGTGGAACTAAAAAAACAGTTTTTATCTGTGAAGTTTCTGTAAGTTTTTCTTTTTTTTAACCATTAAAACTTTCAAGCTAACATTTTTAATTTTCCAAAAGATTAGCCTTACTCCATGAACTTTAAATCATTTTGCTCCCTGTTCCTGATTTTAATTTTTTTCCAGCTCTTCCTAGTGCAACATTTTAATTTTCTCTGTGTTATCTATTTAAAGGTTAATTAACTGCATGTTTTATTTGTTCATAAAAAAAGAAAGAACCTTTTGGTTCTTTCCCACTTATATTAGGAACGGGCCAAGGTGAATTATATTATGTTCTGTTTGTCCTCACGATAAGAGGAGTTAAAGACGGAGTGTTTAGAAACTGAGAGGCTTACACTTGCTAGCTTTTGTATTTTAATTAATCTTTGTGGATATAATACAGTCTCCTAAGCCTGTCGGTCACCTTCACTGTTTTGTACCTTCCTCTRGTTTTGGAAAATAACTGAGGTGACCCAACACAATGGATAAAATATGAAGGCAACACAGAAAAAAAAMMCCTAATTTATGGAAATCTGACATGTTTTATTATCATTCAGTAATGGCATTGTGATTCTTTCCTCCTGCTYAGGTTCTGTATGTGTGTGTGGTACAAAAGTCTGTTATCTGGCTATGAGTAGAGATGCAGGCAAAGATGAGAAATAGGACAGAAAAGATAGGATTTATGCTAACATGCTGGTAGGTATAAAGGAGATTTATGTTATCCTTTGTGAAGACTGATGCCATTACATGAAACCCCACCTCGACAGCCCCTTTTCCCTTTTCCGCCATTCGTTTCTGTCCACCTGTACCATTCCTCCTGCTCTTTCTATTTACCTTTGTCCGTGGCTCTGACTACACTATGAATCCCTTGGGATCTGCTTCTGATTTATTCTGGGGCTACACCTTCTTCTATTCTGTCTCCCTAATGTCTTTACCCCCCCCCCCCACAAACACACACACACACACAGCATTTTTTCCACTTTACTCAAAATCAATAACGTGTGCCGGTGACTGTGCGGACGTGCAGTTGTCTGTTATTTATAACCGCTGCTAGACTGTAAGTAAAATTTTATATACATATACAAAGCATTGGTCTCAGCGGCTGAGATGATGTCTGATTTTATGGCTTGTAGTTCATTATTATGGCTCCCGGTTGTGCTGTCAGTCAGACGGCATCATGGGCCGTCACAGCCTGTAAACATAAACTACGAGCTAATAAGCTACCCCCCACCCCGTCCCGAGCACAGAATATACTGGGTGAGCTGCATCAAGTCATTCATCCGTTTGAATCAGTGCTGTAATGTTGCACTACAGTGGACGTCATACAATATAMATAAAATACATTTAAATCAATGCCTGTGTGGTAAAATATGAAGCTTAGGTGTTCACTGTTTTTTATCCCAGATGTTTCACCATTTGAAGGGGGTATTGTGCAAAATTGACTTTTGAGCTTTTTGTCATGTTATAATGTTAGTCCCTCATCAAAAACATACCAGAGTGTCACTTTGACTCATTCATGTATGTTTGAGACATCCTTGACTCTGCTGTGGTAGCCGTGAGCAGCTTGTTGGTACAAAGCACCGCCTGTTTGTACAAAGCTCCTCCCTTGAGCTCGGAAATGCGAAGAGGTTCTTAAAGAGACACAGACTAATTTCAAGKTGTTTATAGCCTGTGATGCAAAGTCACTTTTTTTATATTTACAGTATTTTCACAACAACTGAAGGTTACATGATTGTGCCTGGAAAATACGTAACACCCCCCCCCCCTTTAAAAAAACAAAATTCAGAATAAAGATGGAGAGGTGTGTGGGTGTAAACATTTCATTTAATCTATAGAAGCTTTTTAGTGAGTTTGTTTTTATCCAAACTTCACATCTCTTTAAATTCTGTTGCCATCCATTATCTACATCATAGTATTACAGCAGTTAGTACGTTTTACTGTTGCCTACCACCAAACCAATAATATTTATGTCTATGTCTGTTTGATTTTGGAGTTTTTTTTTCCAAACTTCCTCRTTTCTCATCWTAAGATAATCTTTGTCTARAAATCTGTCATTCCTTSAASAGATGCAAAATCTTTAATTTAAGACTTTTTCCCCTCTACATCCATTAAGTACTCTCCTTCACCCTGTAGGATATTTTTAGCTGATCTAAATACCTGAAGTAGCTGGCTCTCGTGAGGGGAAAATGAAACACCAGTCACTCTCTCTGTTTGCAGAAGAAAATCACTGAAGCAAACKCCGCCACACACACACGTCTACACACCTTGTTGCCATTTGTCAGCTTGCCTCTTCATATTTCATCTCTGCGAAGCATCACTAACACAGCGAGCGAGTGCTTTCTCTTGTTCTGTGACTCTCACTGTCAAGCAGAGGGATTTTTGAACTACATGGCAGAACCAAAGTGCTTCAGTTTTCCCTCTTGCTTGGAGGAATTGAGTACCCATGACCTTTGTAGCCCCCAGGTCATTAGAAAGTGACTCGAGTCTGTGTAGTAACGCGCAGTGTAATCTTTAAAAAAAAACATGCTAACACATTGTCACTCCTGACTCATCAACATATTGACACTTTTCCAAGGTTCCCTCTGCGTCTTATTTTGACGCATCGGGTGACCCCCTCGCGTCAGTCTTTGCCGCCCGCGGCTTTTCCGGGTTGCGCCGCCAGGGGTCTTTGGGTCGGGGGTCTGAGGTTAACATGAGGGATCAGGATTAATGGTTAATTTTAGGTACTTGGGTCAGGGATAGGTTGTCTAGGGTGAATATTAGGTAATTTTAGGCTCTGGAACACATAGTTGTCGTGGATTTCCTACATTTTCTAAAAATGGTTAATTTTAGGTACTAGGGTCAGAGACAGGATGTCTAAAGTGAATAAAGGTAATTTTAGGCTTTGGGACTGTAGTTTCTGTGCTTTTTCTACACTTTCTGAAATTATGACAACAGATTTCGCCCCATCTCGTCAAAATCTGACGCAGAGGGAACCTTGGAAAAGCGTCAATATGTGACGACTTTGGAGTGAGAATGGGTTGAACATGCAGGACAACGTTGCAAAATGAGTTAAAATTAACGTTCTATTACATATTTTTCTTCTAGATCCTTAGGGTTATATGTAATTCTATATGTATATGAGTAGCAGTACATATCGTGACACTTAAAGTTTCTTTCTTTTAATTAAATGGCTTTTTTTCTCCTCCTTCTCTTCAGGAAAGAAGACATGTGCATCCACAGACTTCACCTGTAATAATGGCCAGTGCCTGCCTGGTAGGTGGCGCTGTGACGGAGAAGCAGAGTGTATGGATGGCTCCGATGAGGCCGATGCGATATGCGGTGAGTTTGCAGGGGCAGACACACGGCACAACAAACATAAATACACACTTGTAGGGGTTTTGGGTATATTCTAAAATGGATAATTTGTGAATTATTTAAATACGCAAATTATCTTACCTCGAGGCACCACGCTCTTAATTTGATCAAAAACTAACCCAGGAAAGAGACGAAAACCTGTAACTTTATTGTAATCAGTCCATCCATCCATTTTCTGTACACGCTTCATCCTTTTCAGGGTTACGTGGGTCACTGGTGCCCATTTCCAGCAGTCACAATGCGAGGGGCGGGGTACACCCTGGACAGGTCGCAAGTCCATCACAGG